TGGCCAGAAGATGCCAGTTTAGAGAAGGGTTGTCCAGAGAAATGAAGGTAGAAGTCTCAAAGGAAGAGCCTATGGTTACCATCTCTTATGTAGAAATAAAGCCTAGTAAAAACAGATCAAGCCATTTCCTGGATAAAGGGCCAAGATGGCAGTAGAGATGAGCGTGGCCAGCAGCTCCAGATGTAAGGAAGTCTAGAACTGACCTGATGACTGGAATCCTGTTGTTTAGCTTAATAAGTCCTATTAATCAATGAACTTATGGGAGAGTTGACTTACCAAGTCCCCACGGAGTCAATGGGTCTACTCTAGAGTAACTTCCGACTCTAAGCAACAGGGTTTCGGCCACTGATCTGAAATAATGAGCTGAACTTTCAGCCATGGACACCTGGACTCTCTTTTAAAATACAGCACAGCATGATCATCACCCCACTTCTATGTGTACCTGCTCTTCACAAGTCACTTAAGTGATTTTGTAAAAATAATTAAGTTTAAATTATTTTCTGTATAAAACTCCCCACCTTTAATTTCAACTTTGCAACCTAGAAACAACTGACATAAACAAAGCCACATGTCATCTAACAGACTCCAGGCAGCTGGGCCTAATTAGGGCCATTTTTATTTTTTATAAATTTTTTAAAAGAAAAAACTGAGTCCACCCTCCTTAGGCCTTTCGTCTAGAATAAATGCCTTGTTATATTCTACGATATCAGCAACTTAACTACTATCAGCCTGGTCTCCTATTGTGGGCATCACATGGAGGAATGTTAAATAGACACCTCTTTTTCTTAAAAAGAAAAAAAAGATATCATTTTACAAATTTAACTTTTGTTGAATACTAAAACCTCCAGCTAAATGCCTAAACAGCAGGACTTAGCACTAAATGATCCAGAAAAAAACTGCAGCAAACCAAAAGCGGACATACTGATACTTTCTTGGCTTCTGACATTTTATTGCATCATAGAAAGAAAGCTAACAGAAACACCAACTTTCCATTTTAAATAAACTAAACGGTCTCATTGCATTTCAGTTCAGGAATCTGTGATTTATTCTATCTGTGGTTTGAGCCTAGATCATTCGAACTAACCGGAGGTGTTTAAAAACTCGGAATTTCAGGAGCTGGGACATAACGCAAAACTACAGGGAATGCAACCTTGAAAGTGCTCAAAGAGGAAAGAGCACAAAAGGCAGGCGAGTCAAAAGGTCACTGTGGTTTATTCCTGTAAAGCTAAATGGCTGAGGAGCAATATTTGTTTCTTTGAAACATTTCTACCCTAACTTTCTCCTTATGAAGGACTGAAGGCGGCTTACATCATCCAAAGACAATATTTAAAGCTAAAACAATAAATATACAAATACTAGAAAGGATATATCAACACCACAGTAAAAGATAGTAAACAGAAGCAACATCAAAAGACATTCAACACAACAAAGCATAAGAATCTATTTAAGAACCCCACTTAGGCAGGCAGTAATTAAAGGAAAGCCCACTTGCCTGCTTGTGTCATAATGGGAGACGTGGTCCTTGAGACAGGCAGTGGACAAGAGGGTTATGTGATCCCTGTGACCAGCCCACTGACTGCTGCATTTTGGGCCCCTCAAAATTTCCAAACACATTCCAGGTGCAACTCCACATACAGCATGTTACAGTTATTCAGCTGGGATGTGACTAACATATGTGTCACTATGGCCAGATAAGACCACTCCAGAAATAGACACAACTGATGCACTACTTTTAATTGTGCAAATGAACTCCTAGCCACCACCAAATCCTGGGCATCCAGGCTCTGAGACAATTCCAGGAGCTCTCCCAAGCTGCACACCTGTGTTTTTAGAGGGAATGCAACCCCATCCAGTACAGGCTGCATCCCTGTTCCTTGATTTGCCTTTCAGCTGACCAGGACCACCTCTGTCTTGTCGCTATTAAATTTCAATTATGCTCACAAATATTGCACGGAATCACTGGCTGAGAGCAGGAAAAGAAATTTCCACTATCTCCAGTCAGTGATCAGAGATTAGTAAAGATTCATTGGAGCATGCAAGGAAATCCTTGTCTATTATTTCCAGTCAGTGAGGGTACAGGAGCCCTAGAACCTCTGTAGATTGGATTCTAACCCTCTATGGGCTGTATTATGCTTATGAGCCAGATGTCTCTACACCTTGTTCTCCCGTTATGTTTGAACAATGTTAAAGAATAATGTCCTACAACTATACTTAACAATAGACTAAAGTTGACATCCTTTCTATTTGCATTAAATGTACAGTTCACTCCCATCCGGAGAACTTCTGCAAAGGTATCCAGAGGTCTGCTGCTTCTCAGTTTACTCTAGGAGTTTAACCATTTAAAGATCACCAATAGGTGTTATGATCACTACATTAACTCAGATTTGTGATGTAGAATTTTTAGTTTATAAAGTCACCAAGATAAAATCGCCTTCAATTTCTTATTAAACTCTCTGGACACAATACAGTACATGGATTTGGCTGTCTCAGTGAGGCCCCTAGTGGAGGTCTCCATTTATCAGAACAACTGTAACATTCCTGTCCTACTAAAAAAATAAATGGACCTTAAGAAGTTGGTATTTCCTCCAATAGGTTCAGATCAATAGCTAATGCAAAGCAATTTTTTCTCGTGCATACTTGATATCTGGCCAACTTCCCCTGTTCAGAACTACCAAGTTTCTATCACATGAACAGAATTACTCTCTCGATGCCTGAACAGAAATAGTGAGAAGCCTCACCAAAATACATATTTTTTAAGCAAAGCACCAACATGATTAAAAATGGGAAAATACTGTTATTTTAGACAGTATCATCAGACAACATATTGAAAAGCTGGAAAGGAGAAATTTATCAGAAGCAAAGTAAAAAATATTTCAAAATATTCTTCATTTTAAAAGTAATATTTATCTGGAAAAATCATTTCTTTATTGTTTGTTATATTTATATCCCACCCATAAATTGCCACGCCACTACTCTGGTTGGCTAACTACAAGTGAAAATGTATACATATCCATAAACATAATCCCCCCCACCATAACTCATTAAAAAACCAAAAGGGGGGGGGAAGAAAAACACACAGAACTCACCCCCCAGGCAATTAACATAAAATATCAAATAAATGAACAAGACTTGGTTAAAAAGTAAATGTGAACAGATATCAATGCTTGTTTATCCATAGTATATACTATGCAAAGTGGTACTTCTGTTGATGTACAATCTTCACTTAGATGTGCTCTAATAATCAAGATGATAACACCCCTTCAAAGCTAGAAAATCAGACAGCAAAACACAAAACGCACAGTTACCTTATCTAAAACAAATGACCACTTCAAAGATGAAAGAGAAGTGATTATTTTTCTGTAGAATAACCTTCACTAAAAATCAAAATTATTAAAAAGGGGTTCATATGAACAATTCTTACAAACCACTGCCCCCAAAAAGTTTAATTTCATAATAACCATTGCTTTACACTGAATACTCAAACCAATATATAAAAAATAAAATATTGCTTATTAATTTTTAAAATGGTTGGATTTCAAAGCTTGTGATCAAAATTACCACCCCAAATTATTGTTTGTAAGAAGTTTAGTAAAGGAAGATCTAGGCTCCCATAAATCTGCACTTGACCCTGTCCCCTTCTTCCTTCATTGTTTACACACCCTGTCACTTCCCTGTCCAAAACCTACTCCTGGGACCTTGGCAATTGGAACACAAAGCAGCAGCTGTTTGGCAACATTTCTAACCCTAAACAGCGAATGCAATGAGATTTCATTTCACTAAAGATGCAGACCTCCTTTAGTACTGGGAGCGAAACAATAGCCATTCTTTTATGGGAGAAATACATTGTACTGAAAAAAGAAATATTTTCAAACACCAATGCATTTGTTCACCTTTCTCCACCCAAGGAGCAAGATCATAGAAAATATATGAAATATAAGCACTAGACACTGAAAATGTTCAAACATACATCTTTATTATACACATCTGCAACCACAAAACCACCCAGTGCTTGGTGTGTTTGGGGGTTTACCTCTCAGATTCCTTCCACCGGACTGCCTCCCAAAATAGCAGAATATGATTCTTGTAAGGCCAGGTGATTCTGAACACTCTAGGTCCAATTTGGGGACTGGAAAGCGAAGTCACAAAGAGACAGATGCTGTCCAAGGCAGCGCTAGGCTCACCCTCCCCACCACCTCCTCCAATGATTTAGCAAAATACAAGTTCATTGCAAACCCTGCCAAGTGGGAAGCTTTGGTAAGCAGCCACTGCATTGCTGAAGCATCTCTTTAAACCGAGGCGTCGGAATCAATGCCTCCTCTGCAGCCAAACCCATCAGATGGCAAAATGGATGCTTCGCAGCCGCCTCAAACTCCCCTCCACGGAACAAACTGGACGCGAACCAGTCTCGAAACTGCACTGAAAGGAGCCTTCTCTCTCCCACCTCGCTTCACCCTGCCTTCTCTCTGGGCCATCTCTTCCGATTCTCCCCTCCGGCCCCATCGCTCAAAAGACCCTGCCTTTCCCTCTCTCCCTCCTCCCCTCACAGGATGGAGAGGCCGTTCCCGACCGACCAAGCATCCTTTCCAGAAGAGAGACCAGCAAGAGACCTGCGAGAGTTGGAGGGCTCATCCTTCCCTGGCCTCGAGCAACCTGTCATCTGGCTCCAGCACGCCTCAGCGTCGCCCTGGAGGGAGGCTCGCCGGATTCAGCCGCTACTACCTCCCTTCCCTGCTC